ACCCCTACAACAAGAACGCCTCTTATGGTATTATCATAGTTGACTTATGTAGGACAACGAAACCGCTGAAGTAAATCGTAACAGTTTAAGGATAAGTCAAATGTCACTTTCTATTCATGTCATGATCCTATTATCCTCGGTCTCGTTTACACTAATGTTCCGACACATGTCAACTCAAAGATATACTAGTATTCTACGCCGATGTATAATGGGGAGTAACACATTTTTATATCGAAACAACGTGTTCTTTTGGAGTGACCAGCTAACGTAATGAGATAAGCATGTGTTTAAAACTAGAATTAAATATGGAATATTGACCGAATTTGACTATAAAGCCAAAAATACGTCTAGTCCATCAGGAAATATCGATAAAAATATAAAAAGCATATATTCCTGTGATTTACCTGCTGTTGTAAGTATTTTGACATTTTAGAATAATTGTTTTGTAAAGTGATGATACAAAGGAAAATATCTGAAAGCATAAAACAATAGTGTGACAACAGAAAAATGGTAAGTGTTCGTTATTTATTATTTTAGGTAGCATTTATTTGTTGTTGAAACAATTGATAAGATGATAAAAATACTTACCTTTAGCGAGCTCACACCTGTGGTTAAGTAATTGTTAAACCGTCATGTGTATCCCATGTGGTCCTATTATAGTAAGCCTACAGATAATTGAAACTGACCTGGCATTAATCTTTTGGTCTGAGAGGAATATTGCTGAGTTGGTGAGAGCGTTGCCCTACCTAACCCCAGGTGAAGATCCCAGATGCGTAGTTTGACGCAACTGAAATGTGACGGTTTGTGCTCCTCAGAAGCTGAGACACGAACCGTTCTTTGCTGAAGAAATTGTGCCTTTTGACGAGACAGTTAACCCTAATTCTCTGGACTGTATGCGATGGGCCTCCTGTATGTCTTTCGATAAGGTAACCACCGCTAACACAAGAAAACCTCGACTCAATCTAACTCTAGCTGTTCACTGGGTGATAGACCAAGCAAAACCAAGAGAAGTCGCATTTTTATCTCCTTTCAATATTTATGTGCATGATTTACAATTTTCGATGTCTTTGAAAAATCTAAAATGTTTTGAAACTTCAATTTGTGAGATCAGCATATTTTGACCGGAGTATTACCAAATTTGGGCAAATTCTGGTAGGGTTAGGAACACTTGACCATATCCCATGTTTGGCAACGTGATCGTTGTCTATGAAATAGGGGCTCGCACTGTTGCTAACAGACTTGGGGAGAACGACTGTGTTACTCTCTCTCCTCATTTCTCATATTCGGCCAATGGAACCTAAAACTTGTTAACTGTAGACTTTATTTCAACTTTTCGAACTCTTTCGTTTTAACTGCATGTGAAGACTAGAGAACCTGTCCTACCTGGTTGGATTGTTATTTTAAGCATATATAAGCACCTGAAGTGTTATAGCCACGACATGATGCTGTATGTTGATTAGGAACTATCTTTTGTAATGGATACTAACGCGAAGTACTAACTATGGAAAACCACTATACGATGAAATAAAAGTTTCGGTCAACCCAAGTAAACACTGTGTTTAGTCATTGTGTTACAGTCCATTTATAGGTTAAAATTGTCCGCTGAAGTAATATCACTTGAGCAATTAAAAGTAGTTCGTTCAATGGCTGCCACCTTATTATGTTTTTCTTGGTGGACCGCGTTTTGTTATAGGCATTCAGCTTTGATATATCACAAGCAGTACCAGATTTAATAACGAGCATCAAATAAACAGAATCCTATCATTATGCCGACCCTAAAGCTAAAGCTCTCTACACCCTGTGTTGTGGATATAGCTGCCAGCTTTCGACATACAATGCTGCTCGCTGGAATTGCGTGTCAAATGATGATTGTTGGTCACGTTTGTAAGATATACATAGTTAACAAATACGATAGTTGTGAAGATGTGATTTTTTATTTCATTTTCAAAAGACAAATGTTTTAAAATGTACAGCGGTATACCTTATTGGCACTGCAGTCTAAAGAAAACATCAATCTATACCTCAGAAAAAACAAAATACAAAGATATTTTAAAAGTTACATCTTCATAAGTTCTATCATCAATATCATGAAAGTAGGTCCTTTCATTTTTTGAATTTGTTTCGGTATTTAATATAAATATAATGATTATAATTATATGTATTTGCGTTCATATTTATGATATTTTTCAAGAGAAAAAAAACCGTACAGAATGATATCTTTACAAAAAATACACTGTTTTAGAAAAAAAAAACAGCCTAATATCTGTAGGTAACACTTTATCATGTGTTAGAGTTCAATAATTCATGGTTTCATCTTTCACCATACTAATATCAGCATTAACTGAACAAACTGGTTATTACAAATCAGTTTTATATTTATTTATCAATAATTCATATTGTGAAATATAATGAGTGGTGTTTCTCTTGAAACATTGGCACAATACAAGAAAAAACAATTTTTTAGTTTAATCTCTTGATTTTTTATATACGACGGTGACAGTGACTTATATTACAGAGAAATACCTGTGTTTACAGCAGTTGTAACATACCTTGGTATGAAAGTGTTAGCAGTAATATATCAAATTAACCACCCCAAAATAGATTGTACATATTTATTGAAATGTGAGCAAAACATTTCTATATATTGATTGCATTGATTTCATTTTAAAAAAGATGAAAGAAAAGAAAAAAAACTTTTTACAAACTGATACATGAATGGAATCAAACAACAGACCATACCTGTATCATATTTCATGTAGTGCAATGTCAAAATATGAAGTAAGTAAATCTATGATGTACGGGAAGTAACTCCAGTAATATGACTTTAAGGGTACAATTTAATGAGCAATATTTATCCAAGTTATGATTAACAATAAAATACATACTAGAGCAATCAGAGACTTTTTCTTAAAAAGAAATATTCAAGAAGTAAGAAGTAACCCTCTGTGCACTGTGTGATTTTTCAAAGTATATCAAAATCCATGAACTAATATTGATTGATATCCATTTTACATAAATCTTAGGCTAGAATATCTGTCTAGATGATAAAATATATTTTAATTTCTTTACCATTTGGCAGTAAATATATAGAATATGGTTTTCTATTCAATTTCAAAACTATCAGAATATTTGTAAATCGATCCAAGTTTGTAACAAGAAGTCTTGTGGAGATTGAGTACACGTATACACATATTTTTATTTACTGATTTGAAAAAGAAGAATTATATGAAGGGTAGTCCATTTCTTTGCATACAATGTATTCTTCTAAATAAATAGTTTTAAATTGACTGGTCTATACCGAACCATTCTCAAAACGTTCGTAAATTTTCGAGTTGTGAAATATGAAAACATAAGTCTAGTGTACAGTATAACACATTTATCAGTACACATATCAACTTGTCACCGGATTACTCATAAGAACATATATTGGACGTTAAAACCGCCAAAACAGATCGCTAAGATTGATTGAGAAATATATTAAAAATAAACATTATGTACATAAGTCTAAAAGGGATATGATGGTGGAAGACGAGGAAACAATAGCAATAATTAACAGCATTAAAGGTAATATTTTGTGTTTACATCTCCTTGACTTTGTAGAATATTCACACGATCATCTAGGATATTTTCCTTGTCGATTTAAAACACTTACAATTTCTACACGTTTATCAGAAATGTGTATATAAAATCCATTTACGATAGAAAATTTATTTCGATGGTAAGAAACATACCTCATCAATAAGAAAGCAAACATATCAGATAATGGTTTACTCTACTTTGTTATAAATAGTCAGTAAAAAGCATAGAAATTTTTGCATTTGTTCTTGAAAGAAAAACATTTATACACAAAATATCAGTATACATTATCATCCTTTTCGCGTCGCCCATGTAATGTCAACAAGAAAATATAAGTAACACTTAGACATTTGGTTCATTTGAAGGTCAACATGTTAGCTGTTCAAAGTCATGGTTGTTACCATTTATCAACTAAGCATGCATAACATTTAAAAGTTTTAATGAGGCTAGTATTTGCAGTCTAAGTAATTTGAATTTTTTTTTTAATGAACAATAATTCTGTTCCCTTTTAGAAACGAGTTGTCGTATTTGTTCTGTAAAATTGTAAAAATATTAAGCATAGTACAATCATTCCTTTTACGTTTACAAAAATATGTACACGTAATCACTGATTTTACAACAAATATTTATTTATTGAATCAAAGATAAACTGTTTGGATGTAAACATACGAAGTCCTTGGGTCATGAACCGGTAGGGTCATTACTAAAGGTTTTCATATTATTTGACTGAAGACATAACATCTAAAATCAAAATATCATTGAATATTATGTAAACCAGCATTGTAAACATATCAAAAATCTCGTTCAGGTAAACATTCAATTTTGCAATGGACATGATTTGTTTCATAATTATCATTAACATACCTGCTTACCCTCAAGATAATTTTTTGAGTCTATATTCCATTCAAAATTTTGCTAAATTCCTTATTCTATGTAAGGTGCTATCGTCTTTACCAACACAATAGACTTTAGCAAAAATATTCTTGTGTAACTGAAAACAAGTGTGTAACATAGATTTTGATAAAGATGATTATATTTGGTCAAGATGATAGTTCGAAGTGACGTGTACAAGACATGACCTTATATACCATACCATATATCAAACATCCAATGTGGCTTGTCTATCGGAGACCGACATGGATTGCAAGCTTTGTCTTACAATTATATTACAGTATTGAAAGACAGGATAGCAATGACATTTCAGTGCTACAAAACAGCAGTAAGATACATACTGTGTTTCTAGTACCAATGAAGTAATTAGATGGAAAGTTTAATTTCTTTTCTTGATTCCTAAAATTAGTTTCAAATAATAAAGAAAATACGTTGTAGAGATACACCCTTTGTGATATTGCGGATCGAAATCTATATTTATCATTTCTCATTTATCAATTTCAATATCATTAGAAAACTCTTATTAATTTTCAGAAGTCTTCATCGCCTTATCATCTTCCGCATTGGACCAAACAAACGGATACATTTTGACTCCGTTTTGAATTTTAAATACACGAAAAATTATGAATTGCATTTACAAAGCAGTAAATGATTGACAAAGTATAAAACATAAGAATTGTAATGGTATTCGAGTCTCGTTTTTCAAAATACAGATGATTAATCAATGGCTTCGAACATATAGTGTGCAAATACTGTTGTAATAATAAACACTTTGTGCAAAATATTCTTAGAAACTGACAAAAATGGACCACTCTATCACAAAAACGCTTTATCGTCAGGGTAATCTCCTTCTTCAATATCAGCAGGTACCATTTTTATCTGGTTTTCGTAAAGTGTCTGATCGGGATTCCTGTAAAATGATTTAACAAAACGCTTTAAACATATGTAATGTACAATATTTTAAGTTCTAGTAGAATAGGTTTTCTGTTAATTGCATTCGCTTATGTAAATAAAAATTATTTGGGTCATACCATTAAACAACCGGCTGCAAAAATGCGTGGTTCTTTAAAGCAATATCCTCGGGAAAGGTTAAATTTCCTGGATTGTTCAGATTAGTGATAAATTTACGTTTGCCTTTTATATACTATGTATCGAGTCAAAATTAGGGTTTGTAATTTTGCTGTAAGTCATATCAAACAAATTTCAAGCGCGACTAATAAATATACTTACTTTCCAAAGTTTTCACCATCTTCGATGGTTTCTGGGAGTTTCTTCCCTAATGTTTCCGGCAGAAGCAAACACAACAGTCCCGCAGTAATTGAAGCAGCACCAAAAATACCAAGTGGGAAAGCTTGTCCGAATTTCCCTCCAATAATTTCTCCCTTTAATAAAACACATTCACTGTTAATAAAAATCCATTCCTATTTAGCGTTTGCTTGATTTGCAAACTTTGCCACAAAAATAAAGCGTTTCTATTCTGTATCCTTTCAGAATCATTTTGATCACATATTTGTTTATTTACAAACACGCCGTTACCATGTAGGTACAATTAAATTTATATGTTGTTATTGACACTGTTAGAAATGCGCGTGTTTTAATACACTTACAGTTGAGTAAGCCGTTATTATAAGTCATTTAATTGATTACTAAAATCTAATCACATAGAAGGAAACGTCCGAAGGTTTATCAATTAACAATCGATATATGATATTGCAAGTGTAAACGATGTGTAAACTGCATAGTGAAATTTGTCTGAATCGGACATGTCAGAACTCTCATATTTCTCAATCTTGCAAACTCTCCTTATTGTATAAATTGCTTACAGATTGAGCAATGTAGGGAGATATCATTCCTCCTATCCTGGCCACACATGAACTAGCTCCCATTCCACCGTTCCTGACGACAGTCGGGTACAACTCCATTGAATATACGTAAACCACACCAAAGGCCGCGGCCGAGCCCATCTTACCGAGGACGGCTAGTGCAAGGGTAAGGGGCTCCAACTCTGTCAACACCACAACATATGCAAATTTTAGAACTCTAGTCCGCACTATCTAACAATATACATTTTTAACAGCTTTAAACATTTCAAGATGTTATCCTTTTAAGATGGAGAGGATTGTGCCAATAGCACATAAAACTCCTCATATATGAATATATATATATAAATCAAACTCTATCATAATGTTTCACCCTTCCTTCTTTAATTCTATGACATCCTTGAATATCATTTAACTATGGTTAAGAATGCTTTCCAACAATTACTAACATGATGATTTTATAAGATTTAAGAGAATTAGAATACAATCCTCACCGTCTCCTCCATATAATACGGTAAAAATTGTACAGACACAGGCTACACCTCCAACCATCATGCACAGGCACAACAGCTTTCGTCGTCCCATAGCGTTGAGAAGAAAAATTGTTGATCCATTGGACGGGTACTCCACCACAGCAAGGATAAAGAACTTGAGGAAGAAGTTACCTCCCAGATTGCCAGAGTGCATGGTCACACCGTAGTACATCATGCTGATCACCAACCTACGAGCAAAAATAAGGACAGAAACTTCCATGAGAACGTGTTTCTTCAGTTTACTGCGTTTATAAGCTAGTCTACAACCATAGATTATCCCAATCTTTATTTCTGTGAGAAGGTATAAGTGTCCAGCGGTCCCTGGTCTCTACCCGATGCCTGATTGCCCTATCCCCTCGTCCTATGGACATCACCAGTCTTATGAAACAGATCGAGTGAATACTCTGGCATCGTTCCGAGAAGTGCAACAATTGGCTCTATGAAGAAAATTAAAATATATATAAAACAAGCCTATTCATCAAACCTTAATTATTTCATCCTTGTCATATTTATGGTTTTTTTCTTATACTAAACAATCACATAAACAGATACGTGGTCAGCATACAAACATGCAACCATGATCGAGAAATAATCAATGTTTTTTTCAAAAGGTAGCACTATATGAATGAATGCAATATGGTAATATGAAAGCCAGATTTTTTTTAATTAAGTGTAGTTATACTGATTATTTCTCGATATCAATGTTTCAAACCTTTTTTATGAAGAACCTATTCAATGAAAACAACGAATTAGTAAAACAAATCAACCTATCCGTGATTTTACATTTAACACAAATAAAACAATAAAACAATATGAAAATGTTATAAATTAGGGGTTATGAAAATATTAATGTATATTATTATAATCATCATCAATTATTAGAATGTTTAACTGCGTTTAACTAATTGTTATGTTCTTCAAATAAACTTTGATAAAAAATTTTCTCACCAATTAAAGAATATGATGAGGGTCCTGAAGAAGAGGGTCTTTGACATAAACAGATGCCACAAGTGCCCCTCTTTCACTTTTTCCACAGAGTCGGCGTCAAACATCTTATCTGGAACAGTTGTTTTGTTGACTTCCGCAGCACGCTTGACAATCACCTCCGCTTCCTCGTAGTGCCCTTTGCTGATCAACCATCGTGGCGATTCGGGAATAAACCTAGGACATACACATGCAGCCAGAACTCTTAAGAAAGTGTTACGAAGAACAATATTTCCTATAGCACATAACTTCTCTACAGAAGAGACTTTGATTAGCTTTTATCTCGTAACCACTGATGGACCATGGGTATTGTAAATGGATGCCAGGGAATGGACGCAGGGAGGGGTCGGCAAAAAGGTCGTCTGCAGGGCTAATCAACGCCCAGGCATCTCAGTTAGGCCATCCTCGGAAAACAACGCGAGTTTGGATCGATAAAAAAAAATCCAAAATGGTTCATGTGTGTTCGTGAAATGATTTCTTACCAAACTAAGTATATGAACTTTCAAACTGCATGATAGAATAATACCCTGATTCTAACGGTTTTTATAATTTAACTATTTTAGTACTATAATGGTGTGAACTAAGATGATTTTAGATTCCTATTTAATGTTTTACGACGACATCAAGACGTCACCAGTTTTGAATTAAAAGAAGTAAATGTTGAAATAACCATTTTTTTTTTTAAATGAGCACATGAGATTTATTCATCTCATCACGAATGTTTATGTTACGTCACTCTCCGGAGACCTGGATTTAGTTTTGATATTGAGGACTTCCGTCGATCTTTAAAAGAATTTTAGTAAAATACAAAATTATATATCAGTTATGAAAGTAGTTATAACTAACTGACGATGTGTCATAATTGTTACAGTCACACTTCTAAATGTTGATTTATGTTGTAAATAGTAATATTTTGTGTTAAAATTACTGAGCTATCTATATAAGTATTTTAATCGATTTCTTTTAATATATATCTTCATTTAAAGAAATACATACTCATACTTCTTAACATTCAGGTGTTTATACTGTATTGCAGTAATAACGAAACGATGATTTTCTGTTTAACACATTGCCAAATTTATATAACGAACATTTGAAAATTATCGATCAAAATTACTTACAAATTACCTAAACTCCTTTTGTAATGTTACATATGAAAAACTTTGTAAGTTATCGAACTTTGTTTCGTAGTTATGATATTCTTGTTTAAGATGATCAATGAGGTGAGTTATACATTAGAAGAAAGCACGCAGACACTCTCCAATTTATTCCGGGAGATGATACAATATTTGGCGAGCAACAACATTACTGAGACAGCGCAAACGTGACAGAAATAAGGCAAAGTATAAATAAGGCCTCAAATAAGTGATTATAAAAAGCTTCATACACTTAAAATAACATTCGAAATTATAAGAAATAAGTTTAACATTCCAGTTCAATCAGCTGTCGGTTAAGATACTATATATATACAAGTTCCTTCCCCTTACACACCAATAAACTTTTACTCCATAACGGGCATACCGGTTAAGTGAATCAGCACCGCACTGGCGCATCTAACAGTTTTTTTGAACGAGTAGCATCGTTTTACATCCTTACATCTTATGGAATCACACATTCTGCAGTTCTACTTAGCAAATGTACATACGGATATACCATGAGAACACTGGATACTGACATATACCAGCTGTAACCCTTGGATTGTCTGTTTATTTGATATTTCAGCTAACGTTGGACATTAGAATACTGGTTGCTTCAAGTCAGTGCTATGTAATTGTATATCTGAGAGATTTGTTTGCTTTTGAATTGCTTAATCTCGGAACAATGCATTTTCATAAAATTGTGGAATCCGTGGATCTTTTTGAGGCTTTGGTAGAAGGCCAAGAGGAGATGATACCTGGAAAACACAAAATCAGATCCGTGATCAATAATCATGTTGATAAATTTCTGGATGTAACAAAAGATTCTCATGTTCAGCGCGCTTGTATTCACGAAACTGTTCTTCAGGAACTATCCGCGATCAAATTCCTAGCAATTTGGACGTTTCGGTAAATTCCCTGCACAATTGGTCAAAATTTCACAGGAAATAATTTTAAATCTGAAATATTGTGATTCGAGCATATCTATGCATAAACTGTAGATATTATTTTTATCTGATATGTCGCAATCATCACGGTTACAATCGCCACTGCAGCGCTGTGTTATGTTTGTGTTTGCAGCAGATATTGCATGCGTGAAATAGATTACGATATATGAGTGATCACAGGTAATGCCTTCTCACTTGAAAATCTCAATATTTAATGTTTGTTTGTTATTGTGATTTTAAAAATTCATGTTTCTTTTTTATAACGAACTTGTCTTAAATTTCAATCAGGTTGACGTATTTAAGGAAAACAAAAAACTTTCAAGCGAGGGTGATTGCCTGTGTAATAATACATTGCAATAAATATCTGAGAAAATAGTTCCTGAGGTACAGCGGAGGGATATGAATAATACAAAACGTACTTACCGTTGGCATTGCGCCCATTGAAAACAACACGAGTGAACACGGGCATTTTTTAAAGTTATTACAGCGTTATAGCTTACCTCAACAAAACAACGCGCCTATCATCCTTACGTTTTATTTTTTCATAACTTTAACGAAGAATTGTAGAATAAAAACCCGACTTCATACAGATAACCATGCTGTTTGATCAAAGAAAATGTGAAATGTTGTATATTATAGCTTATTGATATGAGTTTCTTTATAACAATGAGAAAGGAAAGTAAATATTCATATTCATTTCAGTTCATCTATAAATCAACAACACGGTTTTCTGCTGAGGTCAAAAAGGATTTGAAAGATAACACAGCAATTAAAGAATGGCAACAATCTTATAAAACAACTCATGTTAATACTTTTTCTCGAGTTTGTGGATTGATCACATTTTGCATGATTAATCGTGAGTAGCTCTATCATGACTGATGCAGTCTTAAGCGAGCTACAGAATAGGTGGGCGCGACTCCAATGTATATCATCACATTAAAATCAATAAAACTCCTGGTCTTTCGGAAACCAGTCTGAGTCTATATTACACATTTGCAACGTTGGTTGTTTTCTATATCTGTGTTATCGCCACTCTTGTATGTATTCTCTGTCCATGTTATCCTGTAATGTTATATATATTCCCGGCTTTAGTTATTGATCCAGTCGGATTGAATGCCTGTCTGTTGTACTCTGAAGACACAATGCTTGTTCACCGTATAGTATAAACAAATATAACCGATATTCGAAACATCGCAGAGGAATATGTAGTGATGAGTGTTGCCATATTTAATAGCTCTGATATCCGTTAAACCCTTTTCGCTTTATATAAAGAAAAGTTTCGTTTTATCTAAAATATATTTAAGTTTGATTAATTAAAAAAATTGATTGAGAAATAATTGATTAATTTAGAAATAGCTTCTTCAACAATAGATATTTGATCTTATTATTGCTTTAGACAATTTCTTCGTGTGCTGTTCATGGACTGCAGTCAAAGTCTCTTCTTCCAACACCCAAAAACAAATAACCGCTTATTGTGATTATTTATCTGGAGAATTACTTATGATATATCCACATGTATTACGTAACGACCATCTTATTAGCTTATTTTTATTTTTATTTTATCTTTTTTTTATTTTATACTAAATTAGAACAAATGTACAGAAAAATTAATTCTAAAGCAAATGTGGATATTTATAATTATTTAAAATAAGGGACAAAATTCAATTATGTTTATACTATAGAAAAACACCGAAATAAATAAAAAGATATAAGAAATATTGAAACATGAATAAAATCTTATTCGTAATGGTTACCTGGAAATGTATTAAGGTTTCATTACTGCAATTGATTTTATACAATTTAATTACTCATATTTTGGAATAAAAAGCTAAAACATTTGCATGCTTCATAATATGTTTAAGCATATATAGAAACAAACAATGACAAATACATATCTTTTACATTATTTAAGTCCGTGTTTTCTATAAAGAACAACAATAATGGCGCCATACCTCCCAACCGGTGCGCAGACGGCCAACACCTTATGTGGGCTAGCAAATTAAAGTTTTGTTTCTTTATTCTTTAAAGATACAGTGCATAGTTGACTATTTCTATAATTGACATCATATCAATAAATATTTATTAGATTTCCTAATGATTCTAACAATCAATGCATTTTACAAGTACAATATGTCTTTATTTCTGAAGAAATACATACATGTACATATATACAAAATACAAACTTATTTAAGCATCTTAAAGCATTGCTAAGGAATATTAGTTTGTCCTTAAGTCAATCAGCATCCGTGAAGGTATGTGTTTTTCTACTTACTTCTTCTGTCTTCAAAAATGGAGAGCAGCCACAGGATATTTCTTCTCAAACTCTTCGTTGATGGCATCTTTGTGTTTTAGCATGGTGAATTTGTTGATTTTCTGGTTCTTGTCGACGTGAGGGGTTCACTGACGTACGCAATGATATGAGAGAAATTTGCAAGGAAATTCTAACTCCACTACATAGCAGGTAGGCAAGATTTGCGAAAAAATACATTCCATCCGATATCTTACAAACGAGTTTATCTTTGAATGAAGAAACAAAAAAAGGATGATTAAATCATGATAGTAAAAAGTTAAATTGTGAAATATAATTAAATTTCATTCTTTCAGGAGACACTATCTTTGTCAAGGTATTATTTTGAATGGATCTGATATCAGATGAAATCAATGTTGAAACTAGTGTTTTTAAAACCAAATGATTTTTCACCTAAACTCAATTGAACAAAATCGTGTCAGCTCTTGCAAAGAAAAGGTCTGTGCGAAAAGTAGTGATTGTAAAATTGTGAAATTATAATGTACTGCTGCGTTTCGTCCAGTAACCATCCAACCCCTCAAAAGGTTTCTTCATACAGGACTCTTAACATCTCTGGTAGGAAAACATCATTTACATCTAAAGGCATGTTCACATGGTTTTCTTCGAGTATTACTCTCTTCATTGCCCAACACAACTGCACCATGGTCGCTTAACAAAGCATTTCGTCTCTGCTTTCGCTCTGCCCTTCTTTAAATGGAAACTTTGGCTTTAAAAATGTTCATTTGTCCAAACGCCCAAAAAACCGAAAAATACCGTTTTGTCGGAAAAGATCGCGATTTTTATAAGTTTGGCCTCCACTACAGTTTAATCATGTTGCTTCGTGAATACGTAGATACAAATTAAGCTCTAAAAATCCTATTAAATCGTTTGTTATTTACATTCATTTGTATATTAAATAGTTTATACCAAACCAAAAATCTGACACAACTTTACACCTTATAAAAAAAGTTACAAATGTTGATATACTAAACAGAAAAAAAACGATAGTTTAAAAAAAATAATTTAACCGTGATATCATTATCGGTACCAACACTTAATGTATATTTTTCAAGAAAAATAACTTACGATTTATCATCTCTTCAAAACATTCTATGGTGATGATGTCTGCTATTCGCTTGGATTCGAAACAAGATTGTTCATATATGTAAGATATACACCATTGAAGATATAAATCAAGTCATAAATCATATCTCCGTATGTAGAAGCGTTAAATACAACTGTTGTGAAGGTCAAACCTGATACAGTTTACACATTTTAGAACTTACGGTTTTGTGGTCCATTTATCTGCATCCCTGCGACGCTATGATGTGGTGAGGAGATTAAAAGACAAGGCAAAGGGAAAAAGGAAGTGGGGATCAAACGTACTCGATTCTACTATGAGTACACTCTTTTTCAGCGGTTACGAGTTTCAGTCTGATTAATAAATAAGCCTTCCGTCATCTGACTTATCAAGAATTTCAGGTAACCTGCAACAATACAGAATGACATATGTAATATTCAGGAAAATACTCTTATTGAAACCTTTCTTAGTGGTAAATATCGCTGAGTTGAGAAAACATTGTCACTATGTGTTTCCGTTTAAAGGACGAAAATGTTTGGCTCATGTTCAATATAAACCTGTTTATTTCACAAGATACATTCATTTTAATTATTACTATAAGTATGGAAGCACGCTGGGCCTTGATGCACCAGAAAACCACAAAAAAATCTGGTAGGTTGGTAGATCACTAAACATGTGTATATATCTTTTTATATTCAAATGGTTATTAAAATACCGATAATCTTGTGGAAAAGTCGCTCCAATTACCAGTCACTTTTCATCACTTCACTTAATTCTCTTGTTGACTATGTGCTTTCTTTGAAACATTAATTCCATACCATTTTATAATGGATTATCGCCTGGTTGATATTACTGTTATCGGTTTCACCCTTCAAAAACGGAAACACACTTTTGCATAACTAACTTGCATTATACTCTCAATATACGCATCACAAAGCAAAACTAATGTGTGGACAACCTAGTACCGACCTACCATATATATGTTTATCAAACATATTTGTTTTGTGTCTGTTGGACAGATGTCTTGCTGTAAAAGTCATCGGAACATTGTCCTTAAAGTATAAAAATATATAACCGCAAACAAAACTCATTACGATAACATGCGTCAGGCAATGTAGTTAAGGATGAAAAAAGCACAATCTAGTGTCCCAACGATAATTTTTTATTGCATATATTACTCGCTACCTTATCCTTATTGAGAAATCATGCAAATTTTAATGCACTTTAATAGAATATGATGGTGAACTTGGATGACGGAATGTTAAACTCGATATCATCTCCCAATCTATGATCTGTCCGTATTTACATCCTATGGTCTGTAGTGTATTTTTCGTCCCGTCTGTGGTCAAGATAAGTAATGCACCATGAATAGTAACAAAATTAATAATGATTATATCAAAAAACAGATTAAATGTCTTTTAAATTATCGTTCCTTATCTAAATCGTTATTATCTTTATTTTGCAGTTTAGAATATTCCATTTTTTTTTTATTTTTTATTTATTTATTTTTTTTTACTTTTGCTTTTTTTATTTTATTTTAGTTTGGCCTGTTGATGATCCTGTCTATTTTGATGTGTATCCATTTAGTTAGTAACTCTCATCTATAACAGGGGGTATCATCGTCGTGTCGACCTTTTGCCTGTCTTGTCAGCTTGAATATTCCGTACATAAAATCAGCCTCTCCAGTTTCTCAATCCCCGTAATTGAGCTGATTTATGATTAGTCTCAATTTATTCCACAGTAACTATAGCTCTTTGCCAAAAGAACGTCAAACCCCTGTTTGCTTCCGAGGTCTTTGTATATTCCAAATTATCTAATCATTCATACCAGATGTCGAGGTATATATTTCGATACCGTGTCTTGATGTCAAAATGCACTTATGGAAACCGGTGATTAATAAGATATCTAAGCTTCGGAAGAACTATTAAAGATTGATACATGACAATAAGGTATAACTTCGCTTAGAAAGTGATCATATCTAATACCGTAGCATGCAATGATAGAAAAGTGCAAGCTGAATCCAATGCATTATTTAAAAGAGGTAGAATAAAATCGTTTTTATTCCTAACACTATCGTACGTAACCCATTAACATTATAGTCTGCATTTTTTAAATAGTATTTAAGAAATATAAAGACCGATATCTATATCAAATTATGAACATCTAAGTAGATTTGCTATTCTTTCGAATTATGAGTATAGTCAACTTTCACTAAACATTAAGTGAATTGTGTTTACTACTACTTCCCAGAGAAAAAGAAAAAAATCATAAGTGATTTTTGTAGGAATATTAAAAGCTGGCGTTTGTTTTAGAAGATACCAAACAAACGTCTCCTTGAGTTACTTACCACCAATAGAAGAGATAGAAAGTGCAGGGGATGCCCACCGCCAGCTGAATATAGTGCCAGTTCCTCAGGAAAAAGCCAGCTCCTGACAGGTAACACAAACCAGTAGCAAAGAACATGTGTATAGGGATTCCAGCCACTCCTCGCTTAGACGGTCCGACCATTTCCACGCCTAATAGAAGGTGACAAACAAACTCACTGAAGAGGCAGACACTCATGTAAACATAGATATTTTTTTCTTTAATTTCATATATGCAAGAGGATTATAAACAGTTCTATGATTGTTATTAATGGTGATATTACATCTATCAACATTTTTTCTCGGGCTTTCCTAACCATGTAGATTTGTATTATAAGATTGTTTAGGATTAAATACACTTATACACTACTTCTCTCATACGAGCACTTCGCATGTTTGTATAACAAACACCTGTTCTGAACAGATAAACCAATTACACTTAGCATAAATAGTTACCTAAAGCTTACTCTAGGGCAATCATTAACACCAAAATAACAATGTGTGTTTTTATTCATTTGCTAGTATCAAAATTAAGGGGAATAGTGTGTGCAGCGGCTGAAACATGTTCCAAAGAATTATTGCGTACAACCTTCATTACTATAAGAACCTACTATTAAAGCTAGTAAGCGGCATATGTACAAAGAATGCCCCCTGCACAAAATCATGACCTAAGTTGTCGTGGTAATAAGTGCCTTATATTAAATATGTATGTATTTACACGAAATCAAGGTTAAGATTCCATCAATTTTCTTAGAAATTAAATTGTTTCTATGCCAACAACATTACAACGTTGATTAAAGGCAAACAATATAATCTTCTTTACGACATACTCTTAAAAATACAATCACTTATTAGTTTTAATGGGATGAAGTTTTCTCGGGACTCGACTTTGCTCGCAAAGAAATAGTACAGTCAATAACATTAGTAATTGCACATGCAGTTACTGATACCATATGGTCGACTTACTAAGAACACAGCAGACCATAAAGAGTCCATGACATGCAGCGCCGACTGTGAATTCTAGGAGGACGAAGCTGTAATATTCGGGAGCCCATGCTAACGCCAAGGCAGATGCGAGCATCAATACGGAGCAGATTGAAAACGTCTTTTTACGACCGATGCTGTAATTAAGATATATTTTCATGTATATAAGACATGTCAGACAAAAATCAATTTCAGAATGAAGCTTGTTGTTATATTATTCAGAATACAATTTAACATGGAATGATTATATTGACAAAGGAAACATCACATAAATTGCTTTACATCTTCGTGTAGAATATTGTTTACACACTATGACTTATCGAACTTCAGCCATTCAGGCATTAGAAAAGTGATATTTTAGGTTATAATAATAACGCCATATACGAATGCATTCCATAAAGAGACAAATTATAACTGATATTAAAACACTCAAAATGCGTAAACATGAATTGGCCATGAATCGTGAGGCTACATATGGGATACCATTCAAATATTATGTTTATTTTTTGTCAGATAGATTTTCAAATGTCAAATTTGCCAACTAGTCTTAAATATATACAAACACGTTTTGATTTTCCAGACCAGGAACTTTTTACTGCATAATGTATAGACAGACAATGTTACCGACATCAGTCTAACAAACACCTGTAATAAACGCTATATCATATCGATGGCGTGGAATTATTTGTTTTTCATATCCTGCCACGAAATGAATACGATCTTTGTGTTTTAGAGCGATAGACAACGCATTGTTGGTGATGATGGTAGGATAGAATTTGCCTTGTTTTTTATATAACATTAATGATAAGATTAGTGTAGCCACTTACTAGTCAGAAAGCATCCCAAATCCAAGGTCTCCGCACAAAACACCAAAGTAGAACACCATCTGAGCGTGCGACGTCTTCAAGGCATCATCACAAACCAGGTTATTCTGTACAATTGATATTGAATATTAACAAAATTAAAATCGACTAATGTCAGAAATATGTCAGCAAGGTGTCTCATCAATTTTAAAATATGTGTCTCCTAGCAAAGTCAAGAATGAAGCTTCCCTTAGACAACCTCAGAAAGATATCCGGTTTCAATGTCAGGAAAATGACCAGTTTCAAGGTCAGGAAGATGTCTTTCATCAATGTCAGGAAAATGTCATTATATTAACCTTAGGAAGGTGCCCCGTTTCAACATCAAGAGGGTGATCTGCATCAACGACAGAAAGTTGTTTCTTATCACGTCAAGAAAATGACCAGTATCAAGGTCAGGAAGATGTCCTTCATCAACGTCAGGAAAGTGTCCCATTTAAACCTTACAAAGGTGCCCGTTTCAACATCCGGAAGATGTTCGCGTTTTATCGCCAAGAAGGCGTGCCAAATCAACGTCAGGAAAGTGCTCCATATCAACGTCAAGAAAAAGTGCTTAATTTATGTCAGAAAGATGTCGTTTGTCAACGTCTGAAAGGTGTCTTTTACCAACGTCAGAAATATGACCTTTAACCTCCGGAAGGTGTCTTTTACCAACGTCAGAAATGTCACCTTTAACGTCCGTAAGGTGTTCGTTTTCAATTACTGTATTACCGGTTAGATTAAGATCTTCCTAGACAACTGGTGAGATGTTATCTGATTGCCTTTGCTTTGCTTTTAAAGGGCATTTTTTACGACCAGACGTTAATGTCACAATATCAATATATCACCATATGGTGTGCTTGAAATTTAAAATGCAAGGAGTGTACACATGCGGAATATTAAAGTAGTGAACTACAGTCAGACAATATACAATCAATCACACGTTTCTGCATTAAAAACGAAAAAGCAATCATAGCTATTATTGTTTCCGTAATGTCAGCGTCCATGATAATGAAGACTGTCCTAAAATCGATACTAGCGAACGGTTCTAGAGCTTCATTATGTAATCGTTATAGAAATGATTTGCCGACCAACTCATGTCAGTGAAATTATCACACGGAATTCGGAAGATCTTATCATATTACCGAATATTGATTTACAGATAACTCCTTCGTTTGAGGAATATGTGATAAAGAAAGTTTGACATTTTGTATATCTACCACTTCATCAACGATCATGATCTAGCTGCGACTCCATTCTTTAGTTTCCATGTATATAACATGACTTGCTTGCTAACCTTCAGTAGCCAGAGGGTCAACGACCCAGTACTCGATCTAAAAATGGGCCTGCCCACAATGTGACCTGTAGCCTGCGCACCATATGATTTGATTAATACGCATGTATTTTTCGGTAAACTGCAACTTGGCAAAAAGCCAAATTACCTACAAAACTTTATGAGAAGTTTATACGCGAACTTTTTGCTATTATCACGTTAGTAATACTACACGGTAGTCGCTACGTACAAACTGTTTTAACAGTCGACAGTCAGTGCGTAATGCCATCACGGGTTACATTGGGAGAGATAAAAGAAGCCAGACGATTCCATCTAAACATATCTACCAAACAGTTGTTCTCAAACTTAAAAGAACGTATTTCATTATTAATCATTACATATATCGTCTGTAAAGTTTACGTGAATAATTTGCACCGTTAGTAGTTCGGTATAAGTGATAGAAGATCCAAGACATGAAACAGGTACTGAAGTTAGATTGTATAGCATGTGCATGTAATGTTCAGCAGTAGCCTATGAGCTTATAAAGCCACTCATTCAATTTTCAAGCATCCAAGAGCACTTTTCCAAAACAGGCGTTATGACAACATTATCACTTAACGCAAAGCAAACGGAAAAAAGCTCTTTGTGACTTTTTTTTTAACTGCAAGTGTACAGATTGAACTTGAATATATATATTAACGGGAGGTATGAGCTAACAGTATGTTACGTACTTCAGATGCAAATGTTTCCTCGAAGACGGACTTGTCGTAGACGTAGTCTTCGCATTGTATCCTAGATGTAGTGTTCACGTAGTAGTCATAGCCCCCCGGGCTGGCCGAGTCCACCACCACTCCCTTGAAATGGCTGCACATCTCGTATTTCTTAAGGACATCCTGACTTGGCGGAATGGTCGCATTGATGAGATCAGCGTGGAAGGCATTTTGAACTTCAAACGTGTCATTAACGTACCCGGGGATCTTACACCTGTATGAATTAACAATAAAAGAAAACCATCAGGTATTGATTTAGTCTGAAAGGAGGTTTATAGTTACTAGTAGGAAATAGAATGTAGCAAGTTTCATTTAATAAACAACAAGTTTCAATTAAGCTCACGAATTTCAATTGAACAAACGCATCTTATAATTGTACATAAAAATATGATACAGTTTTAGCTAATATAAATGTCAACACAACATGTTATGATACTGCGTCAACAGAATGTATGCAAATTGTCAAAAAAAAAATCATTTCTGCTGTACTAGAAAGATATTATGTCTGTTATTATTAGAAAATTGGCCGTGGTAGACAGGGGGGTTCTGACATTATCCTAGCATGATCCTGGTCTGAAAAAAGCATCTGGAAAAAAACATCTTCTCACCATTGCCATGGTGATACGAGTTTATTATATCGTATATGTAACATGACCGTAGATATCGAGTGTACAATGTGTATTACATTATAAATAAATGAACATGTTGTTTCCTACGTCAACCATCATAATAAGAGAACAGAAACTAACGCTGTTTCAGAAGGAAAAGCTGACAATGATTTAGTAACAGCTAATGACGTCCTCCAGAGCGGGCGATGTATCGATCGATCGCCCCGAGACAAGTCTGAGACAACTTCTAACGGTAATGGAGAGAACATTTCAGCGCGAATGTCTGATTTATTGTGCAGGCAGCGTCGGGCAACCAAGTTCACTGTGGGGGTGTGGGGTAACCTAAATATTGATCAATTTGTATTCACACATTTCGAGCTTTTCGTTGCTACTGTCTTAGTAGGAATTGAATATCTTAAATGATGACTGTTCTATTGGAAATATTTAACAATTTATTGAATAAGATGCTGTCTACTGTAATATTTTTGCATATCTTAGTGACTTCTACGTCGGTGATTTTAATATGTTAATGAAGCTTGTAAGCAACAGTAACACGTATAAATTTAACTCCACGTTCAATATTGCAAATTGTTAAGTTAAAAGAATTGATGCAAGATTTTTTTTTAATTAGTGTTCAGTGTTGGAAATGTAATGAAATAGTGCAAAATCATTCCGAATACGTCCTATTGTACTGGAAATAGATCTTGTCTTCAAAAATAAAGGATTCTCCTTATACCAGCATATCAAACTAATCACGATAAATATGACATCATTCTAAGCGGAATGTGTGTATACGTAGTTTATGGGCTGTATGTCGTGTTAGTCAGCAATCCTGTGTGTCTGGGACATGATGTTGGGTTGATATCATCTTTTTTTTTCAAATAAACTCATTCTCCTCAGTAGCTACATAACAACGAAAGGTCTTTAAAACAGCTATCCTGTCCTTTTTTAATTCTCTCTAATCTTTCCGTCTCGCAGATCGTTATCTATGTTATATGAAACTACAAATTATCTATCGTCAGTCAGAATGTACGGCGTTAAATGACTTATAATCACTTTTAAATGACTGTGACATTGGTGGTGCTGTAAGAGGATTGTATTTAACCGATGTATTTATCACGAAGGACGAATTACTGACTGTACTGTAAGTACTTACTGCAATTACATACAGTTAAGTAGGACACCAACAGTTCCATTTAAACTAGTTTTTATTATTGTACTAACCAAAAAGCCTTGATACACTATAGATGGCTGTCACTAAACCTCTTAAATGGCACAATTTTATTATTCTCTAATCATGGCTGTTTTGTATGGTCATGCTCTAACAAGAAGTACCATGCTGTTTGTAATTATATTCTTATCAATACCGAAAGTTCTTTTTGTTATGATTGGATATATAACTTTAAAGTGAAAGTCGACAAGCCGCGCTAGGCCTTTGCCTTACTTCAATAATACGCAGATTACTTAAATCTCTGAACAATGTCTCCTTTAAGCTGTCTATGTTTTTGAAAGCTTAAACTAAATCTAATTGTACTGTAAAAATCAATAAGCGGCCAGTAATTATGACTTTCAAATATGTTTTACACAGGTGGACAATAATAATATGATATTACTATATTTATCTTTAAGCCTTCACCAATCTCAGAAGTTACACTCATGGATATGTCAGTAGGATGTAAAGTAATTGTCAGTAAGCAAAACCACCGTCGCTAAGTACCATACATTAATGAAAAACAGTCAGTAATAGCTCCGTTGTTAATTAGAGCCGAGATACTTCTACCTCTGAGATCACTTTATGTACAGTTTAATAGCATAGGTATATCAATTAACGTATGGGGGTGAAGGAAAACGGAGCTGTTCGTTTAGAATTATATAATATCCTTAATTTCTACATTTAGATTCCCTGTTGGTTTGTTACAGCAGTCACGACATACAACAGGATATAACTAATGTATAAGTCGATGTAGAAAGCCAGACACAGTAAACATTTCCACTGAGCCATCTGACCATTTCTTTTCTATTCTGGATTCCTCTATGTTTTTAAGAACAAAGGGTGGAAAACGAATATCCAATAGTATGCAGAAATTGAGAGATGTCATTAGCTTCTGAAACTCACGCCTATTATAATTTATAAGTTTGATACGCAAATGTCTGTAATTTAGTCTTTCATGTGAGTTGGATTTTTAATGTCAGTTTTTAATTCCTTATTTCAATATCCTATTTTATATAAATAGTTTTGTTTATCGACACTTTTTTATGTCTGCTTTTTCACATTTTACATCTTAATCCGACCCACATTTCATACATATTTCACTTCCAGCTGCAGCTGTTGCGATAAGACAGTGTGAACTGTATAAAGTACATACTTCCTAATTATCTAGTATACCAGTTATAACCCCTGGTAACCCCCCTTATAAGGCTGTTCTCTAAGTTGTTCTTTGTTGTGCGTATGAATAACAGTGTGTACAAATTAATGCGCGCACTAATATATGCCAAGTATGTACACCTCAAACATTACTGGATATTGTGATTGTTATATACCAAATACAAAGTTTAACTTTAAATTGATTGTATTTAAAACATCAAACAAAATTAATCAATATGATGACTTTTATACGCGGCCCTTTAAATTTGTATATATGAATGAACACGTAACATCAACTGTTCTTTTGTGTGCCGTTAAACCGGACTTATTTCGGTTTGTCTGTAACACATGCTGCAGATACAGTACAGGATATCCCGCATCTAGGCACTTTATTACTTAAATGTATACACATAATGTAGTTTTGTCATACTTGTACAAGTATACATTAAAATATGAAGTGCCTACTTCATCTGGATAAGACATCTAAAGCGCTGTCCTCTTTCTCATTACTTCTAAATGTGTTTTCCATTATCTTCATGTGTGTCGTAACGGTTTTTTCTTTGAGAATAATTACACGTGCTAGATTACATAAGTGGAAATGAACTTTATTTGTATGGTTTGAGTAAGCAATATAGCATTATCCATGCTATGAAGAAAAATACTTTATTCCATACGAGATTCAACCATTAATGTAATTCTGCTTCTACATGCTTTAAGTTACAATCCATATAATATGTATCGAGAAACGACTGGCGACTGGATTTTAAACAGTTGTGTGAAGCCGGATAGTTTTGTGATAGTATTGTTAAACTGAGAGGTATGAGTCACCCTTTACAGGACATAAAGCAGTGGGGAGTGTATGCTTTACCAGCACCCTATGGGCCCTAAAACATGATTTTGTATCTGTTTTGGTTTGAAGACCTTATCAGTCTGAATGTGTTCTAGTAACTCCTCATTCATCCACGATCAAACATTCGTTTCAGAATTCAGATATAGATATTGGTGGTGGGTTTTTTTATGAATACTGATTTGAACTTTACCAAGAGATATTCTTATCAATACAACGTCTTATTTTGTAAACGTTTTAAATGTTTCCTGTTTATAAAAATACAAATTAAAAAGAAGATATTACATTATCGAAAGTTAACATGACTCAATAGAAACAGCATAAGAAAACATGTGCTGATACACATTACCGGCCTTCAATTTTACTGCGTAGTGATAAGTTATCACCGTTAATTCTTAGTTTAGGTAAACTACTTGACTGGTACATTCAGTGCAATTCAAATCCAGTGACGTATTTTTGGTATAGTTGTACCAAGGACCGTGTTTCGATAATATAATCGGACTGTTTGCATAAGGTGTGTATTTAATGGTACAACACACATAACATATATATATATATATATATATATACAAATTAGCCCAGATAAATGAGCTACAAATTTCTTATGTTTTACGTACCGGTGTTCTGGTTTGTACATCTGGAATACCAACATCATCATGAAACATCCGACGGACATAGCGGGAAGCTGAAGGAGAATCCATAACCGTTTCTGATAGAATCCGAATTCTCCGAGCTTCAGCAAAGCGTCATCAAACTTCATTTTGTCTCACACAGGAGAACAAACAACAATAGAAGCCGAGCAATATACACAAAAGCTTGCTCCTTCAACGGTTAGTTCTCCCAGACGCGTATCAATACCACAAGTCTCCTCGTCCTGTGTACTCCGACAGTAACTGGAAGAGAGAGCAACACTGTGTTAGGTTTGGTAGGCAAGGATAGTGTTATAGCTTTGGTACCAGGTCATTCAGGAAGCACGTGAATCATACGCCGCTTATTGATTATGGCCAGAACAAGGATCGGTATGTTAGCGCCACACTCTCGTGTTAAAGCAAGGAGCGCCGGTATTATATGTGTTTCAAAGATTAATACGCGTCCAATCCCGGGCGGATTTCATTGGTTAATACACTTCTATGTTAATAGGACGTTTTTATTATATGTTAGGAATATATTAGCGCTTACCAGCTCCATGAAAACATGCTATTGATCAAGAGATTTTTTAATTAACAAAAATCTTTAAATTTCGGTCTTGACATTCAAATACATTCAAATACAGTTAGAATTCACCAATGATTTCAACACTTTAGATTTACAAATCTTAACGTTAATATTCACTTATCTCATTCACGTAAACCTTAATATCCACCCTACAATTTTATTCCCCTGAACGTTAACATAACATTCACTCAGCAATATCTTCAACCTGAACGTTAACATAACATTCACTCAGCAATATCTTTAACCTGAACGTTAACATCACATTCACATTACAATCCCTTTTTTACCTTGATTTTTGTATTTATTCAACATATCACTCGCTTGAACGGTTACGTTACGTTGTTATGTTCACTCTACAGCCTTATTTACCTTGATGTTTAAATTCAACAATTACATCCACCGTAACGTTCATATTCATATTTTCTCAAATATCATCCATTTCACATCCATCAAGGTAAGGTGTCACCTGTCCGGTTTCCCCCCCCCCCCCCCCCCCCCCCTCCTATCCTTCTCGCGCTTGCATCCTAGCCAACAAGAATGATTATTACAAGTTCAGATAATTTGCTATTAAATAAATAATGGCTATACTTTATCACGATAATTAACTTTGATATCATCGGTCTACTTGATGTTCTCTATTATTTTTATGCTGATAACTCTTCGTTACTTGTGAGCATTGGACGATGCGTTGGACATCTGTTACTGAAGTTCACACTGTCAATGCTGAATGTCTACCGGGGATATTAACGACGCCGTCAAAACCGTGTAATACCATTAGTTGATCGTAACAGGGATGCATCATATGAAGCATAACTTAGCAGCATGCCTCTACTCTAGTGCCCATCAACATCGTCTCAAAGGAGATAACATATTGCAAATTATCCATAAACTAGGAGTGTGTGCATTTCGGTAAATAATGAATGTATATCTGTTACGGAAACATGCGTGCATGTGTGTGTGTGTTTTAGAGGGTTCACGTGAGTTTGTTCTATTGTGCATTATACATTATACGGGTGTTAAAGTAGCATCAAAGACGGTACGAATTTGTTGGTGTATGTGTTTTAGATCACTTTAATACATTTATACTGGTACTGTACTACTGTACTAGAGATGGTGTGTGTTTCCCCGTTATTGTGGGGAATATGTATTTCGTAAGTATTTACTATGTAATTTACATTGTTGCTGTTTCTGAGATATTTACCATGTCACTGTTTCTCAGGTATTTACAGTGTGACTGTATCTGAGGTGTTTACCATGTGTGACTGTTTCTGAGGTATTTACAGTGTGACTATTTCTGAGGTGTTTACAGTGTGACTATTTCTGAGGTGTTTACCGTGTGACTGTTTCTGAGGTGTTTACAGTGTGACTGTTTCTGAGGTGTTTACAGTGTGACTGTTTCTGAGGTGTTTACCATGTGACTGTTTCTGAGGTGTTTACAGTGTGACTGTTTCTGAGGTGTTTACCATGTGACTGTTTCTGAGGTGTTTTACAGTGTGACTGTTTCTAAGGTGTTTACCATGTGACTGTTTCTGAGGTGTTTACCATGTGACTGTTTCTGAGGTATTTACAGTGTGACTGTTTCTGAGGTGTTTACAGTGTCACTGTTTCTGAGGTGTTTACAGTGTGACTATTTCTGAGGTGTTTACAGTGTGACTGTTTCTGAGGTGTTTACAGTGTGACTGTTTCTGAGGTGTTTACAGTGTGACTGTTTCTGAGGTGTTTACCATGTCACTGTTTCTGAGGTGTTTACCATGTGACTGTTTCTGAGGTGTTTACCGTGTGACTGTTTCTGAGGTGTTTACAGTGTCACTGTTTATGAGATGTTTACCGTGTGACTGTTTCTGAGGTGTTTACAGTGCGACTGTTTCTGAGGTATTTACAGTGTGACTATTTCTGAGGTGTTTACAGTGTCACTGTTTCTGAGGTGTTTACAGTGTCACTGTTTCTGAGGTATTTACAGTGTGACTATTTCTGAGATATTTACCATGTCACTGTTTCTGAGGTGTTTACAGTGTGACTGTTTCTGAGGTATTTACAGTGTGACTATTTCTGAGGTGTTTACCATGTGACTGTTTCTGAGGTGTTTACCATGTGACTGTTTCTGAGGTATTTACAGTGTGACTATTTCTGAGGTGTTTACCGTGTGACTGTTTCTGAGATGTTTACAGTGTGACTGTTTCTGAGATGTTTACAGTGTGACTATTTCTGAGGTGTTTACAGTGTGACTGTTTCTGAGGTGTTTACCGTGTGACTGTTTCTGAGGTATTTACAGTGTGACTATTTCTGAGGTGTTTACAGTGTGACTGTTTCTGAGGTGTTTACCGTGTGACTGTTTCTGAGGTATTTACAGTGTGACTGTTTCTGAGGTGTTTACAGTGTGACTATTTCTGAGGTATTTACAGTGTGACTGGGTTCAAGGTAAGGCTGCGTTTAGGATGTTTACCACGTGTTAGAGATATTTTCTGAATTATTGTGTTTTAGAGGTATTTGTTCGAAGTGTGTTTTTACCGTGTCATCCTCTGAATAATTATTTACTGAGTGTCCTGAGTTGGATGTTGTTATCATACCAGGATCTAGGCTTATGTTTCTCATAGCAACTAACAAACTGTTGCAGTGGAAATGTCACTGCCGTTGAGCTCCCAATGAATATTTCAGATAACTTGCACATCACTGATGATATTTAGCATCGTATCCGAATATCTGATAGTGTGGTACATTGGAAGTATCTGTTTAGATTAACCGGACGAGATATTCCAGTAAAAGAAGACATTTTGTGAAATAATAAAAGTCATGCTTCCTGCTAGCTCCAAATAAAACAAAAAAAACGCTAACAATGATATATGGCATTTGATACGATATGTACATGGCAGGTGGTTTCCATATTACCACCTGTGTTAACATCTGTATACTGATATACATTATAGTAATAAAAGGTGCCGTGTTTACTGCGTGTTTACTGTTGATACAATACAGTAACATCACAGTTATATTGGCGTCGTGTTTACCGTTGACACAACACAGTAATATCGGTCGTGTTTACTGTTGACACAACACAGTAATATTGGTGTCATGTTTACTGTTGATACAACACAGTAATATCGGTGTCGTGTTTACTGTTGACACAACACAGTAATATTGGTGTCGTGTTTACTGTTGATACAACACAGTAATATCGGTGTCGTGTTTACTGTTGACACAACACAGTAATATTGGTGTCGTATTTACCGTTCATACACCACAGTAATATCGGTGTTGTGTTTACTGTTAATACAACACAGTAATATTGGTGTCGTGTTTACTGTTGACACAATACAGTAATATTAGTGTCGTGTTTACTGTTGACACAACACAGTAATATTGGTGTCGTGTTTACTGTTGGTACAACACAGTGATATTGGTGTCGTGTTTGCTATTGACACAACACAGTTATATTCTTGTCGTGTTTACTGTTGACACAACACAGTAATATTGGTTTCGTGTTTGCTGTAGTAATATTGGTGTCGTGTTTACTGTTGGTACAACACAGTAATATTGGTGTCGTGTTTGCTGTTGACACAACACAGTTATATTCTTGTCGTGTTTACTGTTGACACAACACAGTAATATTGGTGTCGTGTTTACTGTTAATACATCACAGTTATATCGGTGTCGTGTTTACTGTTGACACAACACAGTAATATCGGTCGTGTTTACTGTTGACACAACACAGTAACATTCTTGTCGTGTTTACTGTTGACACAACACAGTAATATCGGTCGTGTTTACTGTTAATACATCACAGTAATATTGGTGTCGTGTTTACTGTTGGTACAACACAGTAATATTGTTGTCGTGTTTACACAACACAGTAATATTGGTGTCGTGTTTACATAGCACAGTAATATTGGTGTCGTTTTTACACAACACAGTAATATTGGTGTCGTGTTTACTGTTAATACAACACAGTAATATCGGTGTCGTGTTTGCTATTGACACAACACAGTAATATTGGTGTCGTGTTTGCTGTTGACACAACACAGTTATATTCTTGTCGTGTTTACTGTTGATACAACACAGTAATATTGGTGTCGTGTTTGCTGTTGACACAACACAGTAATATCGGTCGTGTTTACTGTTGACACAACACAGTAATATTGGTGTCGTGTTTACTGTTAATACAACACAGTAATATTGGTGTCGTGTTTACACAACACAGTAATATTCTTGTCGTGTTTACTATCGTATTTACTACTGATTTATTACAGTGATATTGTTGTTGTATTATCCACGTGATATCATCGATCACCAATCAATGCTATATAGGTGTTTCTATCCTGACCCCATTACAGTTGACGTAATTACTTGACAACCATTGAGCACCTTTTATTCCTACCTGAACAAAATACTACCCTTAACATTCCATAGAAAGCTTTAGATCACTTCATGAAATTTGTTTTGCACAAGTGATTGTCGTAAAACCCGTGAAACGTTGACAGTGATTTAATGCTTTAAAACAATCCCTTCACTCTCATGTTTCTACTGAAAACAATGGAGTCAACATCGACTGATCCTTAACAGAATGAATGGGAGGCCCCAGAGGGGTCTCCTACGCAGATATTTAGTCACCAACATGTCGTGTATCAAATAAAGATCTAGCAAATTTAATGATATCTTTGAAATGATACATGGAATTTGTACAGGACACAGACTACGGATGTAGAATGAATTCTATTGTAACCCTTGGTATTTCAAATTTCACGACGTGGCATCGGGATGTAAAGCAGGTTTCCTATTCTAAAATACAAGTGAAATATTGATCGTTCAGTGCAGTTGTCTTGGGAATTGCTCAAATTCT